CAATTGCGCAACGGACGCTCTGGAGGCATCAATCTTCGCACCCCACGGGGTCGCGGGCCCTTCGCAGACAGAAAAAACCTACCTGCCGGACTTGGAGGAGCAGAGTTTACCCCTATGTTGAAGTCGAGCAGAAAATCCCACACTAGTCACCAGCCACAGCGGGGCAACTACGCCACAAAATTTGTTATCTGGTCTTATCTTAGCGCGCACAACCCGGTCGGGGCCAACCACAAATCGCAAAATCGGCAAACCGCCCACTAGGAGAAAGCGAAAGAGTTCGTCGATTTTTTGAAGCGACCTATCGCGAAAAACGCTCCGACCGAGACCCAAACCCACTCTTCAATTTTTGGCCCGCGCATCACCACCACCCGAAATCCGCCCTCCCCCTCCCTCCTTTCCTCGATATCTCCTCAACCGCAGGTCTCTCCCCCCGAAAGGACGTCGACGACCGAGAACCAACCTGCCCAGCATGGCTGTCGCCGAAACTGAGAAGTTCCTCCACCTCTCGCGGCCCATCGCGCCGGCCACGATTGGCATCCCAGGCAACATTGCCCCGCTCACCGTCAACATCCAACCCCAGGTACGGCACCTCTTGCTACGCTGCAGGACCTGATATCATACTCGAGACATGTCATAGATCTTCTTCAAGTCATGACATATACACACATCCATCATCAATACAACTCCCCCATGGGGAACCCAACTACTCGTCGCTAACCCCACCTCCTCTTTTCAGGCCATCCTCTCCATTCTCGACCATGCCGTGCGAAGAGACATCCGCGATACGCAATCAACCCGCGTTATCGGCGCCCTCGTTGGTGTCCGCTCCGAAGATGGCACCGAGGTCGAAGTGCGCTCCTGCTTCGCCATCCCCCACACCGAGAATGAGGACCAGGTCGAGGTGGATGTCGACTACCAGAAGAACATGCTCGCCCTCACCCTCAAGGCCAACCCGCGCGAGTCCCTGTTGGGCTGGTACACCACCACCCACGAGCTCAACTCCTTCTCCGCCCTGATCCAGAACTTCTTCGCCTCCCCCGAGACCGGCACCTTCCCCCACCCAGCCGTCCACCTCACCATCAGCACCGACCCGACCTCCGACATCGAGGCCCGATGCTACATCTCCGCTCCCGTCGCCGTCAACGCCGAGCGTGCCGCCGAGAGCTGCCTGTTCATCCAGGTCCCCCACAAGCTCATGTACGGTGACGCCGAGCGTAGCGCCCTCGAGGCCATCTCCATGGCCAAGGACACCGAGGACCGTATCGCCCCTGTCGTCTCCGACATTGAGGGTCTCGCCCGCTCCATCGAGTCTGGCGCCAACCTCATCGAGCGCGTCAGCGACTGGGTCAACGGCATCCTCGACGAGGATGAGGAGCCCAACCAGGCCCTCGGCCAGTACCTCATGAACGCCCTCTCCCTCGCGCCCAAGGTCGACCCCGAGCAGATCGAGCACGACTTCAACAACCACATCCAGGACGTCCTCATGGTCTCCTACCTGGCCAACACCATCCGCACCCAGATCGACCTGTCGCAACGGCTGGCTGTTGCCAATCTCACCGGCGGCGAGAAGGACGGCGAGGGCAAGACGACCGAGGGCGGCGAGAAGGGCGAGCAGCGGGGTCAGCGTGGTGGTAAGCGTGGTGGACGCGGCGGTGGCCGTGGCGGCGGCCAGAGGGGAGAGCCTAGGGAACCCCGCGAGCCCCGCGAGCCGAGGGAACCCACTGAGTAAAGAAAGGGCAGCTAATCTGTTTGTTGAAAAAAAGAGTAATTCTCCCCTTGCATGCAAAGTCATGGCAACGAGAGAATTGAACAAGGCCCCCCCCACCCCAAACCTAAACCCCCAAAAAGGAAGAAGAGGTCGAGAGGTTGAAAGAGACCAGTATAAGCTAGCACGCGATGCTGGGATTTTCTGCCGCAAGGTTAGCAAGCATGGCATCATGAGGAATCCACACTTGATAAAACCATCATGGCGTTTTGGCAGTGGCAGAATTAGACAGCCTAGGGTAGAATGCGCTAGGCAGTTGCAATGATGATTATTCACGCTTTCATGCATATTGTTCAGACATGAGTTTATCCAGGAGCTGTATGATCTTCAAGAAAGTTCGAGTGACAATTAAGACGCGTAAGTGTTCTAGCATGCAATAGCCTACATGATCTGATGCCATCCTATCCCTCCGTGTGAACGCCAATATGCTGTACCTTTAAACCCCTGTACGCCGTTCATTCTGCCATGGACCGTCCAGCAACATCAAGCGCGTACCTAAATACCCATGTTTGGCTTTTGCGGCAAAGTAGCAGGGTTGCCGTAGTGTGGCAGGTGGCTGAACGTCTGTCCGGCCGGACCCTGAGGAATGGCGGGTTTATTGGGAATAAGGGGGGAAGGGTTTTGGGAAATATGTTGAGGGGGGGGTTGGGGGATGTGGTGAACCGGTGCTTGAGGCATAGGATTCAGGTGATGGGGGTGCTGAGGCGGTGGCGGGTGGTATGAAGGAATCGAGTTGTTCGATCCTTGCCTCGCCATGGCATAACCGTAAGGTGCTGGTGGTCCTTGCTGTTGGTAGCCGGCGTATGCCAAGTGAGGTGAGCCGATCTGGGGGCTACCATGGTGAGATCCAGGCGCACTGAAAGGCGGCTGTGGTGGCTGCATTGGAGACATGCCACCTCCAGGAACGAATGACTGCGTCTTGGGATTGAAGGCGTGGCGATTGTAACTGCCGGGAATGGGATGCTGGCTCTTGGGGTCGTTGGGATTTATATTGGTCGGTAACTGCCCATACATGTACGGAACCGTGCTTTGACTGGGCGGCGCCGACATGCCCCGAGGCGTGTAAGCGGTTGCGTTGGCCGCGGAAGGCGGAGTCATCGGCATCGGTGCCGGTCCGAACCCTGGTTGCCAACCTTGTTGTGGAGGAGTAGGGCCTGGACCAACGTAGCTCCTTGCATTCGGAGGTGGTTGAAACTGGGCCTGGTTTGCCGGAGGCGGGTACTAGTTCCGATTAGTCTGATGAAGTCGAGGACGCAACTGTTGACTTACCGGTGTCATGTTAGGATAAGCCGCGTTGTAGCCGGTGTTGGGCATCATAGGAGCAAATGTTTGCGTCGGGGTAGTGTTGTAAGGGGCTGCGGGTATCTGATTGGGATACGGCTGCTGGACTGGCGCACCATACTGATTGGACACAGGGACGTACTGGGGTTGCGGCATCCAAGTCTGCTGCTGCGGGCCCCAGTAAGGAGTGTAGTTGTGCCTGGAGTCGAAGCTGTCTGAATCATCCCGTCTCTGTTTCCCTGTCTTACCCCGTTTGCTGGTACCAGGCTTGTCCCTCGCAGATACGGAGCTGGCACGTGAAACACCATTTTCAATCTCATTATCTTGGAAAGTAGTCAGTGGCGGTCCGAGGAAATTTTGATGATCACACATACCAGGTGTGGACTCGCCAGTCTTCTCAGAGTTGCCGAATATCCTCTCTCGAGCCTGCTTGTATGCCTCTTCGCGCTGTTCTCTCGACAACCTAAATAGATCAGCAACTTTCAATCATACAAAGAAAAGGGGGTAAAATACTTCTGATTTGCCGCGGCAGACTTATCCTTAGAGTCGCTGCCGGTCTCCGACGTGGGCTTAGATGGAGAAGCGCTATTGCTCCCGAATTCCCCATCCTCCCCACGTCGCATGATCTTCCGTGGCAAGACTGCAGGCGGAGGAGGGGTCGTCTCGGCATTGGTTTCCGGAGCAGCTATACTAGCGAGCGATTCAGGTACTCTGGCGTAGGGGGTTCTGAAGATTCGGACAGATCCCACACGAGCTTCATATTGATGCGTCATCCGATAATAATCGGCCAGCTTGTGTGTGAGCATCCTACAAAAGGAATTCGAAGGTGGAAAGTCCATGTATGGGTCTCTGGTATCGTTGTCAATGACTGCAGACTAATCCATTTTGACGGTACTCACTTGGAATTCTGAACAAATTTGATCAATTCGGCCTCCAGCCGCAACAGAAACAGCCGATCCTTTGGGGAAGCCATGGCCTCCAAGAGCTTCTCATCAGGTGCCTGTCCGTAAATGGTATTCAAGAGATTGGCGGAATCGGGGAGATTAGCGGACAATGCGTTAGGAATGGGCATCTGTGGTTGATCTGACGAAGCACTCTGCGGTGTGATCATGCCTTGGCTTAAGGATCCGGAGATGGGTTGGGCGAGGCGGCGGTCTGGCATGTCGCCAAGCTGGATGATGCCCCTCGCACGCGCCGCAATATCAGAACCCATTCTAGAGTTTGGTAGATTCGGCCCTCGGAATGAGAAGGAATCGTCATCCTCAGCAGCGGCGGCTTTCACGCTGGCGCTGTCATCCGGCCGCAATGATTCCTTCTCGTCGAGCGCAAAGGTCGTTCCCGATGTGATACTCTTTCCGTCCAGGCTGGGAGGCTTGGTACCGAGCTCCGAGCTGGAGTCAGCTCTCTGGGAATCGTCTGACCCATCCTTGGTTATGGATTTTGATCGTTCAGCAAAGGAAGAGCCTGTTCCATTCACGACCAGGCTCGGTGTCGGTTGTCCAATGTTCAAATCCTTCAATCCATCCAACACGGCGTCGGTCGCATCGGGCTTCTTTGGTAGGGTAGGCTCGCGCTTAGCGGCAGTCGGTGCAGATTTCGTGGTGTTCATGATCGCGGATGGGCGGGTGTCAACTCCGTCTGTAGTGACGGACGCGGGTATAGAGGGACCGCCGGCAGTAGAAGCTTGATTTGGACGGTCTTGAGCTGGCGCAGCAACAGGTCTCACGGTAGTGACAGGTTGGGTAACTTTTGATGCCGATGCAGCGACCTGGAATAGCGCACAGATTGTCAGCATTCATCACTGGGCAACTACTGAGCTCTGAGAACTAGTGGAAGCTCAGAAGTAAATCGCACCTTTGCGAAAGACGGCTTGGGAATGTCAGACAACATCTGGGCTGTAGCCATAGCCGGAGCAGAGGATCGGAGGATGGCTCAACTTCAGCCGTGGGCAGTGAGATGGAAATGAAAGTCGTCCAGTAGAGTAGCTTCGCGCGGGTAGAATGATGGGCGCGCGACGAGACGAAAAATCCGGGTCGAAAAGGATTAAAGACGATGTCCGAAAACAGAGAACAAACTGGATCAAGGCGAGCCTGCAGAGGAATAAATACCGTGGATCATCGTCGGGACAAGCTCGTCATCGTAGCTGTTGTATTCCCGAATGTTGGATGGATGATGGCCCCGGTTTCTCGTTGCAGGGGAGAAATGGGAGTCGTCCGATGCTTCGAAATCGGTCTGCGCCTGAGTGACCGTCCGTTAGTGGTTGTGGGTAGGACTTGGTTGTGGGGAGTTGGTAGATAGGCGCGCAACAGATGAGGCGAGGCGATGTGAAATTTTTGGCGACCTTCGAGGGGTATAGGTAGTCCGTCACGGGCTTGGGGGAGAGGGGTGTGGTGTGGTGTGGTACAGACGATGGTTTAAGGTAAGGTAGTGGGAGGGAATTGGCAGAGCTTTGGTGTGGGTTTTTTGGATTGCGCTGAAAAGGGAAAAAGAGGATGGGGAAACTGGAGAACAAAACCGACAACTTCTCAGCTTCAGGCTCACTCACCTCGGTAACTTGTTTCGCCAGATCAGCTCACTAACGCACTCACTCTCTCGCCCAGTGCAAGCAAGGTATTGAAATCCGTAGTCTGACAACAACAGTATGTCTCAATCTTTCACTCGTGTTGCGTCAGGCCGTCGCCTTCTCTCTCTCTCTCTCTCTCTTTCGGTTGCTCTCTCCGGTCGCAGAGGCGTGGTGGAGGAGTAAGAAGCTAAAGTACTGGCAACTCTCAGTCGAGCGAACGGCGGTCTCAAGTCGGTAAAAGATGGTGTCAGACGGCTGCCATCCCCTCCGCAACGTCGTGTGGGACGTCAGGCTGAAGAGTCGGGTGGTGATTAAGATCCGGGGATTCTGATGAGCATCAAGCAGGTATCGGGCTTGGGTAGGGTAGATTGGGGTGAGAGACAAAAAGACCACAGGCTGTACCGAGAGTGGCTTAGTGCCGGCAGATTCCTGACGGAAACCCGAGGTTTGTGGCTGGTGCAGGGTTTCCGGTCACTTTTATCTACCTATTTATTAGCTTAGACTGCCTTACTTACAAAAAATGCCCCTGCCTCACAAAGTCTTACATAAGCGTCCGACTTGCATCGATGCTGCCTGTCCTGGGAGCCAAACCTCATCACTCTGCTGCTGTAGCCAAACTCGTTCGGACAGACCCAATTATAAACGTCCTTCAGCTGACAGCGGCGAAACTCCAAAGCATCTGTCGCTCATATTAAACATCATCGTTGCAATCTCGCGTTCTCAGCAACCTAGAAAACGGAAGAGGAATCTGGTCAACATCATCTCGTTGTTCAACGGACCGCAATCCAGAGTTAGACAACAGTGCAATTCCGACAAGAGTCTGATTCAGAACGCCAGCTTAGCGACAGCCAAATTTTATTGCGGTGATCCCTTCGCTCAAGCAGCGGACTCAGCCAATGCACTCCTATAGAGGCCGTGGCGGACCTCGCCAATCCACTCCAGCAAACGTCCAATGCCAAAAGTGTCTTAAAAGAGATAAGTCTACAAGCAAACCATACGTCGCAAACGTTGAACTGACTCTTATAAACGTCATTACTCTTATGAGTGCAAGGAGTCGGCTACGGCCCGACCATATGTGTCTCGGCCGTCCCGAACTCAACAGCTGCGCAACCCGAAGCTCATACCCAAACTGACAAACGAGACGCCAGATGACACGCAACGAAAGTCAGTTCTCCAGCTGCGTTTGTGTTCAGTGTGGCCTTTTTTTTTT